AGACATACCCATTGCTTTTTAAAACATTTGCTCCATTCTACTTCTTAATTTGTAATTTTAAGATAACAATCAAATATTAGTTAATATCAATTATAAATAGAAATTATTAAATAGTTAAAAATTATTAAATACCAAGAAAATACACTTAAATGCCCATTTTTCTTAAATAAACAAATTTAAATTACTTTTAATATATTTCTTTTTGTTTTTAGTCTTCCAATTTCGCCCATAATTATGATCACCTGATGTAAAGTTAATAAGATAAAATAAACAACACAAAATAATCAAATTCATTGAACTTTATTGAACTTAGACATAATATAAAGGTTATTTATGTACAAAAACGGAAACACTAAAAGAGTAAAAATACAAACCTAAAATTTTTTTGCTTTTGCTACTGACAAAGTTACCAACTATGAAGAAAAATGCTTTTAGAAACACCAACTTCTAATGAGGCTGTTATTAATACTTTTTATTGTAGATAGATAAGAACAAAATAAACAATTAATCGAAGATATAGCATAATAGAAATTTGATAATATTAACTAGGATCAAATGAATAGAATTAAAAAATTTTAGGCAGAATATAAGTTTAATATATAATAAAAGCAGAGAGTATCTCAGAAAATATTGTTGATGTGTAAGCTATTATAGACATTACTCAAAAGATGATGGATAGTAGTATTCTTTGAGACTTGATTAATGATAGCAAAAAAAGAGGATAATAAATTATTTTAAAAGAAATAAATAACATGACAATATATATTGATTGATGAATATTCTGACTTGATTTAAATATAAATTAAAATCACATAATCTGCTTATTAAAATGCACGAAGATTTTATGAAATTAAAAAGAAAAATAGGGATAAAGAAATAAAAACTAAGGAGGCTGTAGAATAAGCATCAAAATAGGCATTGAAAACTGCTTTGAAAGAAGTAAACATTTACAATTAACACCACCATAAGTTGAATTAACATTTTAACTACTCGACCAATCTGAACAATTTTTAATTTAATTCTTAAAAATTATTACAAGTTCTTCCAAAAGAATTATGATTTTATTATTGGGTCTAGAACACCTATGCTTAAATATTTTTAGCAGATTTATTATCTAAAAGTTTATTTAAAATTACTATTATTTATCCTTGTTCCTAGCGATGCTCCTGATAGTCTTGTAACTAAATATAGTATCATATGTGTATTAATACAGCTAATAATGCTGAATAAAAAATTTTTTATCTAATTACTTTTATTTGTTGAAAGTTTCTTATTTCACATATAGTATTTGAGAAATTTGCTTTTTTACAGGTATTCAACAATTATTTACACAAGTTTAATCAAGACACACTGCAATTACTATTAAAAGAAGTATTGTTCATACATCTATTATTTGCACTATCTATTCAATGTACAAAAAGATATCCATACTTCATAATTAATATGACTAAGTCTTAAAATATTTATTCCATAATTACTAAATTTACTTTGAGTCATGTGTGCAGTCCCTGCAGAATCTACAATAAGAAAGCTAATTTTAACAATTAACTTAGTTTATAGTTCCAAATGTTTGATTTTATCGTTTATTTAAATCACAATATAATGCAAAATATAAGAATTTGCATTATTTACATTGCTACCCACCAAAAACCTGAATTATTTAAAGTCTTATCTATTCACCTATCCATTAATAAATGCAAAAAAAAATTTCCAAGCATTAAATCTGTATGAATTATTTAAATAACTGCAAATTTTTTCATTTCAATCAATATTATTACTACTATTTAAGCGTTCACAATTGTCATATGTAAATGTTGTAATTGATGAAAAATTATTTGTGCATGTTCTTCGAGTTATTATCGTTTTTAGTGTATTTGCTATGCAATAGGAAACTTAAGATTAACAATTTCTAATATTAACCACGATAATAAATTATCGCATAATTATCATACGTTCGATCTTTATAACTTGCATCTTCATCATTAATAATACAAGTTGATAACCTAAATAAATCTGTCTAATTGCAAGTTAAGGGTTTGAATGACTTCATTTTCAATTAGCAATTAGCGATATCACTAATAATTGAGCACATACACTTTAATTTTAAAATTTGTAAAACTGTAAGCACAACAAGATTTTCATAAATCATCTTTTGCTTTATTGCCAATTCATAATCAATCACATTTTCTTATTGTAGAAGTAAAAAGAATTATTATGATAATTTCCATTTTATATGTAAGGCAAGTCTAATCGACAGAGTAACTATTTAGAGCGTGCGAATCATAAAAGATATCAAAGAGTTTGTACAAATATCTTAAGTTATAATAATAATAGTAATGATATAAGAGTTTGATGAATTGGCATTAGTTTTAATTTCACATTCATTTCTTGAATCATTGATTATGCATAATATTAACCAATTATGGAATTATTTAAATGAGCATGAAGGTAATTGCCATCTCAAATATTATAAGCATTAGCTAAATTTCATAGCTTCGCAATTATACCGACTACTGTTTACAATAGATATAATTTTTATAGCATCTGCAGTAATTACAGACATAGAATTGACAGCATTTGAGCAGAATTAAAGTGCATTTGCTATGATAGTTTTAATAATAAGAATGATTAAATGAAGTCAACAAAGCTTTAGAATTTTAAAATTCCATTGAAGCAATAAAAGTTTAACTCGTTCCACAATTAATTGTTTGTATATGAACTCTTTCAAATGCAACAATTATGCAGTTAAATTGCATATTGTATTTTCACAATTTCAATTCTGTTAGCTTAGATATTAGTAATGCATCTTAATAATCATTAATTATTGTTGGTTAAATTAAAATTTCTTTAAGTAAGTATAAGTCTTAGTTTCGCGTCTGAGACTATTAAATGTAGCAGTGCAATCAGATTGCCAAGTAAATTTAAATGATTGAATATATTTGATATTACAATCATAATTAATGTATGTACATTACAAGCAGTAAGAGTATCATTTATTCTACAATAAGAATAGCAAATTTTACTACTAGTTCTAGCTTCTTCTAGCGACCTATACCAGTATTAAAATTAGTACAAGTAAATACATGTTTTATCTATGCAAACTGTACTTTCAGCGTGTATATAAATACGCTCAACCAATTAAGACAAGTTTCATGAGTAAATTCTATTTATTAAGATCCATAATTATTTCATGTAGCTTCCCTTATATATCCATCATTAGTAAAATTCCCATTACAACTATAAAGCCATCGAGAACAATTACTTGCATTAAATTTAGTTTTATAATCTCCATAATTTACAACATGTTATATATTAAAAATCGTTTTCATCTGAACTTGCTGTAAAAACAAATAAGTACAATTTTTATGATTGAACACTTTAATGCTATTATGAGATGCTAATTAACAAGTACTAATTATGCATTTGTACTTCCAGAATTTGCATATATATTTCGATCAATTCGCAAGATCCAACATCATCTTCACAAAGGGTATTATAGAATTTCTGCATGTTGGTCCTCCATCA